GGAGTATTATCTGAGCCCATGAGTTCAAGACCAGCCTGGGCAACACAGTGAAACCCTGTCAGTACCAAAAAATTAGCTGGACTTCGTGACATACGCCTGTAGTTCCAGCTCCTCAGGAGGCTGAGGTGGAAAAAATCGCTTGAGCCCCAGAGGTTGAGGCTGCAGTGAGCTGTGATGGTACCAGGCTGTATCCAGACTGGGCGACAGAGCAGCACCTTGTCAATAAAAAAAGAGATAGAGGAAAAAAAAAGATTTTCTGCAAAGCCTCTAATATGCTGGATGATATTTTTAAGTTTCTCTCATTTTAAAATGAGACAAAGACGTCAAGATTAGAAATGAGAGGTTTCTGTGGAATTATGCAAAGTGTTCATTTTATTCTGAAGCCAGCTCCATCCGTGATGAAGTTTTCAGAAGACTCCAGTCTGTGTGTGAAGCATGTTTATACATGTTAGGTATTCACGTTCTTGCAGTCCTCTGGCTTCTGATCCCTGGATCCTCCTCATCTTCTTTTCTCTAGAAATAATAACTTCATTCCTCTTGTGCTCACTGGAAGGATGAGTTCTAATGGGAGAGTCTCCCTGAGAGTGGAGCAGGGCCAGGACACCATTGTCTCAGTGCAGCAAATGATTGTCTATTTAGCAGTGTCTCCCAGCACTTTTGTCAGGAGCCGAAGGATTAGGAACCATGGTAGGAATCTTTCTCCTGCATTCCCGGTACATGTGATAAAGATGGCTTTCTGAAGCCACTTTTATAATTGTCTTTATTCTTTTGCAGACGTGCTTGTTTGGAGCAATGATCGAGTGATTCGCTGGATCCTATCAATTGGCCTTAAAGAATATGCAAACAATCTTATAGAGAGTGGTGTTCACGGAGCACTTCTGGCCTTAGACGAAACCTTCGACTTCAGTGCACTGGCACTGCTATTACAGATCCCAACGCAAAACACACAGGTGATGCCAAGCCTGTCCGTGTCTGCATTCAGTGTTCAGTTGGTGCCCTGATTATAGACAGTTATTTGAATAGAAAGAAAACTTAGAGAAAAAAAAAAAAACCTTCAGACAACTAGTTTTTTTGTCTTTTTGTTTTTGGTCTCTCACCTTTCCCTTTTCTGTTGAAAGCATGAGAGTCCTGCAATAAACCAGATAAGGAGGATCTTTCATTCCAGCCCATGTGCCTGATCAGAAGAGTGACATATATTTAGTTCTTACATGGAAAGGGAAGTATTTTTAGGTGTGCCACATGAAGATTTTATTAATTTTGTTTTTATGGGTAATTGCCTTATGTAATTCTTTTTGACTTATGGGCTCTTTTGAAAAACAGAGAACTTTTATTCCTCTACAGAACATTGAATATGCCAGGCGAGGTGGCTCATGCCCACAACCCCAACACTTTGGGAGGCCCAGGTAGGCAGACTGCTTGAGTCCAGGAGTTCAAGACCAGCCTGGCCATCATGGTGAAGCTCTGTCTCTACAAAAAAATACAAAAAATTAGCCAGGTGTGGTGGCACATGCCTGTAGTCCCAGCTACTTGGGAGGCCAAGGCAGGGGGATCACTTGGCCCAGGAAGTGGAGGTTGTGATGAGCTGCCATTGCGCCACTGCACTCCAGCCTGGGTGACAGAGTGAGACCCCATCCCAAAGAAAAAGAAAAAAAAAAAAAAAAAGGCGTTGAATATCTTTTGCCAGTACCCCTGACCAACCCACACACCCTTGTTAATATGACTCCAAGGATCATGGATCCCTTTCTGCAAAAGTCCATCCATAGACTCCACATTAGATGCCCTGATTTAAAATATTATTATGGTTCAATATAGTCATAGTAGTGAAGGAATTTTTGTTTGTTTGTTTGTTTTGAGATGGAGTTTCACTCTTGTTGCCCAGACTGGAGTGCAATGGTGCGATCTTGGCTCACTGCACCCTCTGCCTCCCAGGTTCAAGTGATTTTCCTGCCTCAGCTTCCCAAGTAGCTGAGATTACTGGCACACGCCACCACGCCCAGCTAATTTTTGTATTTTTAGTAGAGACGGGGTTTCACCACGTTGGCCAATCTGGTCTCAAACTCCTGACCTCAACTGATCTGCCCGTCTCGGCCTCCCAAAGTACTGGGATTAGAGGCATGAGTCACCACACCTAGGTCCTAATTTTTATAGTTTTAGTAGAGACGGGGTTTTACCATGTTGACCAGTCTGGTCTTGAACTCCTGACCTCAGGTGGTTTGTGCGCCTCGGTCTCCCAAAGTGTTGGAATTACAGGCATGAGCCACCGCACCCAGCCAGCAGTGAGGGAGTTTAAGTCTTGGTTTAAAAAACAATTATGATGCTAACACCCTTCAAATTAGATTTGATGAAAGTTTTATTTGTTATTCTTTGGTTATTTCAGGCTCGTGCTGTCTTGGAAAGAGAATTTAACAACCTTTTGGTCATGGGGACTGATAGAAGGTTTGATGAAGTAAGTTTTTGGCCTAATGTTCTTTAAATGTCTATGAAACGTGTGTAAATGTTTAAATGTGTGTGAAATGTAAGCTGTTATTATTATACTCAGGACATCATGTAGCTAGGCAGTCTCTCTGGATGTTAGAAGTTAGGATTTGCTCTTATGAATTTATTAACAAATGAGCCTTTAAAAACTCATACCTGGGCCAGGCGCAGTGGCTCATGCGTGTAATCCCAGCACTTTGGGAGGCGGAGGCAGGGGTATCACCTGAGGTCAGGAGTTTAAGACCAGCCTGGCCAATATGGTGAAACCCCATT